AACCTGTTGGCAAATGCACATGATTCTGAGAGCGGTGAGGAGTACTTCATGTGGCTACCACAGGCACTATCGACCAACAGCCTCAGAGAGAGAGGGTTCAGACTTTCAACAAGATGGTGGACGAGACTACATGGATGTGGATAACCCACAACCACCTGAAGGACATGATGATGAAGCAAAGAGCCCCAACAACCGGTCAGTGCTCAAGCCCCCGCCGACAGATATGGACTGGTGGGACTTTGAGAACTTGTTCAAGTACATTAAGCGGCACAAAAAAAAAAAAAACTGGGATGCTCACCACAAACCAGCTGAAGGAATTCATTCGAATAAGGTTGGCATCCTGCTACAGCAGAACCTACCCTCGCATGGCACATTCGACCACATTGTCACGTGGAATGCCGATGAGTGTCACGATTACGGCTTGTTTTGGAAGATCGTGATTATGGAAGACTCGGACGACAACTTCGACGAGTACGCGAGGCTGTACATAGAGCACCGAAGGCGAAACCGAGCTTAGAACAGCTTGATTTCAAAGAACTTTACCATGACAGTACAGATGTACATGACCGCACTGGAGTGGCCCAAGCGTTTGGAAACTAGGCGCGGCGCCGCTGACCTCTTTTTCCAATTTTTCCAGGCATGTTTTCAGGTGAATGTTTGAAGCGGGCTTGCTGACTTCTTGACCATGAATGACCATAAGCTGCGTAATGAAAAACAAAACGTTGTATGGTATTCTGCCACTTCGAGACTAGGAAGTTGGCTCCACGCGTGTAGGAGAACCGCATCCTCCACCATTGCTGTCTGCGTTTTGGCATAATGGGCGTCCTTCTTCAAACTCTCCTCAACATAGTCGGTGCTCTCTCTGCCCACTGCCTGAAAAACAACCAATGCGACGCCATCCACCTTCAGGTCACCAGTTCGGGAAACCAAATTTCCCGAAGGTCCGCACTTATCTCTGCATTGGACCCTTTTCCACTTTGATGAAGTGCGCAAATGTTCAGGAACCACCGTTCGATCTAGTTCCTCCAAAAAACAACGCATGCAGCCCAATGCGAGATTTGACGTCCGCTGGCGCCAAGGTCGCACAAGAACTGACTCGAAATTGCGAGGCCACCGCCTTTTAAACTCATGTTAAGTTTGTGACTGAATTCGGAAAGGTTCACACTCGATATACCAAAAGGAAAAGGATGGGCGTTGTGGCCTGAGGCTTTTAAAGCAAAGAGCGAGGCTCAGGAGAGGATGGCTGAGGTGGAGAGGGCCCGGAAAAAGCCGGAACTTGCAAAGCGGCAGGGGGGGAGCAGAAAGCAAGATTGTGGTTTCTTGTCCTGGGGCCCTAGGGGCCAGTACGGCGGAACCGGCTGAGCGCCGTGCGTGCCGCCAACAAAGGATTTGCACCGTCTGCATGGATTACACTGTGCGAAGCCAAAAGCGAGCGCTATCGTTTTTGCTCACGATAGCTATAGCACCAATCGGCGTTTTCCGGTTTGGAACAACACCAAAGCTGCCCTATGACAACAGCGTCAACACCAAGACATCCCATAAACCATCCAAAACCCTCGGCTGGGGTGCCCATTCTCATCCACAAAAAATGTTCGTGCGGCCTCCCAACCCTTAAATTAAACTCACAGTGGGACCAGTTGTTCAACCATGCGACGTTCGATGCGTGGCGCGTGGACGTAGCAAATGGGCGCAGCAACCTTCTGCCAGGGAGGTCAGTTTCATCCGTGACTGCTGCAACACATCATTTCGCCACCGCTCAAAACGAAAAACGCACGTGGCAGCAAAAATTTTGCAGAATTTGACACCGGACGCTGTGAGGGAAAGAAAACAAGAGACCCATCTATGAAATGGGTATGAGGAAGGCAATGAAATGGATATGGAAACGGTATGGAGGGGGGTATTGCGAACAAGGTTTCCAAAGGTGTGCAAAGGAAGGAGGCATGAAAAGGTTGTGAGGTCGTACAACTATCGGGTTCTGTGCCCTATCTGGCGGCAATTCCGCGCTAGATCCTGGCCAAGCCCCATAGATCCCCATAGTATATGCAGGCGCCCATTCTGCGAACGGCGAGTGCAAGGGAAAGGTTTTTTACGTTTTACAAAAGTCTTGATTGGGCGGCCGGCGATCAGGGCACTGACCAGCAGGTCAATTTCTTTTGCATTCCATTTGATGTTCAAATTTCGTGGCAAGAAGGAAATATTCTGCGACTTGCCGGCAAGTCATTTTGCGAACTTTGACGCGCAGATTCCGCGGCACTAATGGCTGTCGTTCCTGCTCCTCCCTGGGGCTATGTTTGCAACTGCCCTGTGGGATCTCAATTCTGCCCCAGCGTCGCGGGAGTGACTTGTCAAGATGTTGCGTCACCTGTCAAGCTTCCGTTGCGCACAGCGAAAAAACAAAACGCGCGATCGATCGAGCTCGTGCGGTGCCAAGAACCTTTTGTCCGCAAACAAAAGCAACCCTCTGCCTGCAACCCATTGGCGTGGCAACAACCAGTTTCTCTAAAAACCACGGAGGCTTTTGTCCGAAGCTGCAGAAAACGTTCTCAATGTTGGCGAGCACTTGAATTTCGGTTTCGGTGCTTCGACTCTCATAAGCACTCAGCGCGTGAGCGCGACCGAAACCAGATCGGCTCAATCTCCCTCGGACGCCTTCGGGTCCAACCCGGTTCCTGTGAGTCACACCGCTTGCCTCTTCCAGGATTCCAGCTCCGGATGTGATCCATGGCGGCAAAAATGTCGCCAGAAACACACCCACAACAGCACCCATTGTCTGATGAGTTTGCGGCTTAAAAGCTGCATGGCCCAAAGAAAATCCTGATTGTTCGTCGCTTGGTTTGACGTTGCGGCAATGGGGCAAGGCACCGTTGAACTGTCAGCGTGGGTCTTGGCAGAGCAGGGCTGCTGTGCTTGGAGGGCGCGGGCAGCTGCACGTGCCAGGGCTCCGTCGTAGCACATGCCTGTCCCATGTGCTGCGATGAGGTGGGGGGAGGCAATGGAACTTCCACGAATTTGTGTTTTTGGTCATACACGCGTTCAAAAAATCAAGATGCCAAAAAATGTCACCCAAGGTTTCCCCCAATGCCTGAGATGAAAACACACAAAGGTCACGGCCATGTCCAAACTGCTGTGCATGACCCGAGTTACGCACATCGACGCGCAGATGTCCGATTTCCTGCGCCTGCCACGGCAAGTGGCCCTCAAAACACGAGTGACCCTTGCGCCTGCCACGAAAAGCGACCACCAAGGCCAAAAGTGTGTATGGGACCACAACGACAGTGCAGTTGAGGAATGCTTTGGTTCGGAAGAGATTTTGCGAGTTTGTGCGCACGAAATGCACCTCAAACCATCTCGAGGTGATTGCCTGCCGACGGATGCGGCCAGCACCCCGATCAAACAGTAGTGTGACCACACTGCTTGGGGAAACCCATCCTGGTCTGGCGTTGCGTCGTGCCTTCGCTTTGCTGTCCACTCTTTGGGCGGTTGGAGCGCGTCTCTGCCTCTCGCGTCGCGTGTCTCTGTGGCCAATCCGAAGACCCAAAGCCGCCAGTTCGCCCCCGCGCCAACGGCGCTCCGAAGGGCCATGGCAGCGGCCCTCCAGTTCGGCGCCTGGGACGATGCGTTGGGTCCTGCACGCAGGTACTCGTGAAGAGTGTCCAGAGTGCTGGACAGAAGCGCAGTGTCCTACAAGAGTGCTAGAAGAGTCACGCGCAAGTGTGTCAACATGTGATGCAAGTGTCCAACTGGTAGAAGATCGCACAAGAGTGTACACGTCGAGCGACACCAAAGTACCTTGCAAGAGCCGCCCCACGAGGGAGCACTGCCAAAACCTGAAATGCAACTCCATTTGGCACACGCGACAACCACCTTCACCAAACGCTGCAACCTCACACACAATTCACTGCGCGCCCCACGAGCACTGACCCAAAAGCTTCGCGTTCACCCAAAAGCAAATGTTGTGACGCACCACTCCTTTGGAATGATGTCGACATTGATTACTTTCTGTCGCCATCCACCAAAATCACTTGTCGCACAAACACAATTTCGAAGCACGCAGCGATACCTCAAAAGGAAAATCTCAAAAGCACGCAGCGACATTCAACACCTGTCCTGTACATAATATACAAAACAACACCCTGCAAACCACACTTTTCGACACACTGACGGGCTCACAAAACGCTGAAAACAATGTCACACACCATTAAAAGCCAAAACCTCCATATATATGGGGCGTTCAATTCCACTAAGCTCAATTCGAAAGTCGCCTGCATGCATCAGGGAAACGACTCACCTCCTCGAGGGCCATGGGCAGATCACTTCGCGACGGTCCGCCACGTGCCACGCGCCTTGCCGCAACGGGCCTTGCCGCGACGTCGATCAAACACATGCACGTAATCGAGGTCGCCAGGAACAAGGCTGGAAATACAGGCAATACAGAAAATCATCGTCGAATCCAGAATACAGGCAATACAGAATACAGGTTTGCCCATGGAAAATCACCGTCGACGCAAATCCAGGCAATACAGTACAACGCTTGAACATGAGTCGAATGGAAGAAAACCTCTCAACGCACATCCAGGATTGCATGGTGCTTTGTTCTGAAACCGGTTGTGCTTCCTCCACGGGGGGGGCCGTAACCCTCGTCCTGCGCGTCGGCCTGCCAAGCACGCGGCCTGGGATGGGCGGGTGGCAGTCGGACCTGAAGCGGGCGGTGTGCCGTCGGGTGCTTATGTAGGGCCGCAGCTTGGAGGGCCACGTGGCGGCAGGTTGGACCTGTGTCCTGCACCAGCACCATGATTTGGTGAGGAAAGTTCCACCAAGCCACAGGCTTCTGACTCTGACGTCTATGTTGCGACGCGTTGACGCGGCTGCGGCACCATCCACCACCTATTTCGGAAACGGCTGCTCACATGTTGTGGGGAGCTTGGGTGCACGCTTGAACCTTGTTGAGGTGTGAAATTGAGGGCCATCTCAGGTGAAAGAATTGCTGGGCGACTCTTGGTGTGTTTCCCAAAGACATGTTCTTTTTGTTGCGCAGCTCGTTCCCACCAATCTGTTCCCCACAACGAGCCTTTCTGTTACTGTTACAGTAAGTTCATCTGACTGGGAGCAGCTCAGAAACAAAGACACGCTCCAAAAGCATGACGAAAAGGGATGAACCTGTGGCAAGACAACAACCGACTCTCAAAGAAGGCTACCAGCACCAACTCAAAGAATGTGCGCATGGTGCATGTCCGTCACAGTATATAATAGTATATATAACTGTCGCTGCACAATCCCACTTCTGAGCAAATGCTGGACCAAAGGAACCATGAAGTGATGTGAGTCACGTGACTTTTGGGCTTGAAGCTCTTGGCACAACTTCACTAAACAACTAGCAGCTAGCATGGCATCATTTCCATGGATCACTCAGAAGTCAAACTGCATATTCCAGCCGCAGCTCTTCATTTCCTTCACAACGATCAGAAATGAAAGCAGGACAGAACCAAACAGACTCGATCCCATCCCAAAAAGCAGCAAATGGCCATACATGGCCCCCAAGCTATTCAGTCCTTCGAGTGAGCCTGAAACCTGCGCGCAAATCCAATATGCAGAATCTTCGATCCATCCAAAGTTCTCCAACACTTGGCTGTGGGTAAAAACCAGGATAACTTGGTTGACCTGCCTGGAGGGTCAAGCTACATGGTGTTGGGGCTCCAGGTTTTCAGGTTTTGACCCATCCCCACTGGTTACAAGCCCGCATGTCGGCATCATCCGCTCTGTCAGATTATGGACAAGCTCTGCCAATGATTTTTATTCTTGATGGTCTCATGGCCCATGCCTGCATGAACGTTTGAAGAGAAAGTCGGGAAGTAGGACCCACAGATTTCTCTGACACAACCTCAGAATAAAACGACGTACACAAGGATTTGCTTTCACTCCTACATGCCACAAAACAATCTTGGGAGACAAGTCCAACCTTCAGAACTGCAAACACTCATTCACATGCCCAGCTGCAAAGTCTCGCACAGCATGTGGATATGCAGGATCCTAAGCTGTCGCTGAGAAATGCTGTCGCACTTTATCTGGACAAAAAACACGGATATCGAACCTGCTCCAAGTGGACGCAGGAAAGCTCATCAGTTCATACGATTCATCAAGTGGGCCCATGCGCTTTGTCCACAGCGCTTTGAGTCCGTTCGGACCAGTGGCTGCAGCTGTATAGCACCGAGACGTGCTCTTTTTACTTCGGAGTTCCGATCAGCACGTGCATCTGTGAGTTCGGCTTTCCACCGTTCGGCTGCAGTTCGTTGCTATGTGGATGGATGGTCAGTCTGCCAGTTGCTCTGGCTAATGAAGGTACACCAAAAAGCAACTGGTCTGCATGATGCCACACTGTAGAGCGAGCTTGCTATTCCTGCATCTCGTACACTCACACAGCGCGAAGTGAGAAGTGAATTACCGAGCAAAGGGGCTGAAACATGGCTCCGAGACTGGCAAGTTTCGCCTGCAGAACGTTCATTGCTCCCTGCTACGACAGTCCAAAGCAAAGATGGGAGTGGTAAAGCCAACGCGAAGCGTTGCAAATGGTCCAAGGACATCGATCCTTTTGCCAAAGCTTGCCGTGGAAGGTGTAGAGGGAGATTATGTAGCCAGTGGCATTGGTAAATACATTAGCACCATGTGCCAATTTTTTCAGCACATGGCACCGCGTGCATATCTCCTAAGCCTCCTAAGCCCTTATGAGCGGCTATCTGGCACTTGACATTCCAAAAAAGTGTTCAGGCGAACACTGGCGCCTCATCAATACAAGCAATTTCTAAAATGATGAACTGCCAGAAAGCCATCCAGGGAATCACGAAAAGGGCACAACTCTCTCTGCCCTCCTTCACCTCATGTCTGCAGGAAGTGCAGCACACATCTGTATCTTTGCAATGCTCACGTTGCTCATGTCAGTGTGCTATCCTGGCATCATGCTCACTACCCTTTGATTCTTGCAGCTTAGATGCTGGGAGGGGCCTGCGGTCTGCTCTTTCATCGATAGTGCAAGCCTTGGCTACGTTCAGCTCACGAGCTCCATCTGATTATGTAACTATTTGGCAAGGTGCAAGAGCAACTTGAGCAAGAAGAACAAACCAAAGAAACTTGAGAGCCATGCAGCGGAAGTGACGCCAAGCACTGAGTCAGCTTTTTGGATCAATGACACCAGCGTTCTGAGACGCCAAATGAATCAGGTCGCTTTACATCGACGACGTGTTGCAGTCCAAGACACTGAAGTGGTTGCTGCTGACGGCGTTCGACCACCTCCTTCCAGAGTTCACGCTCGTGCTTCACACGCTCCAACTGAGACCTGACAGTGTTCGCACCAATTTTTGGAAGGTGTTGAAAGTGCACGATTGTATCTGCACAGTATCTGCAGTATATCAATATGCACTATATGCAACGACAATCTCATGAGATGTATATACACGTTGTAAACGGTCTATTGTCACTCTCCCAAGCTCTGAATGCAAGATCTGATCAAGTGCAGCATTCTGAGCAGCAAAAAGAGCAATAAGTTTCTCACTCGATGTGCTGCTGTGAAATCTGCAAGAGACGAAGGACACTGTGATCTGCCTGCATCAGTAGTGGATGAAAGCAACGAACTTTGCAGCAAATTCAACTGACTCTGGTGAAAAGTAGCCAACTGACTACTGTTCAAGAACAAGTAACTTTGGAACACCTGTTGGGTGTGGAAATGCCTCCACTCAACATGCACGAATGAGTCGATTCATGTCTGGCCTTCTTGGCAATCATGTCCTCAGCTGTGCAAGAGTCACTCAACCAAATGGTTGTTATCAAGTTTCATATAGCGTCGTAAGGTTTACATCGACAGGAAGGCTTTGTGGAGACCTAATCTGCCTAGCAGAGACTTGATAGATTGCACGTAAAGCACAAAGACTGTACAAATACATGCTGAATTTGCTCAATATTTAGCTTTGCTCAACCGTTCCACACCTGGAGCGCACGTTGCTTCCAAGCAGCCAGCACGTTCCTGAAACGTTGGGAGCAGCGTTGGCGCCATGCCTTGTCCACGCGGAAGGAAAGGTTCTCGGCGCACTCCTAGCATAAATAACAGCAAAGACCAAAAAGGAAAAGAGCAAACCCATTCGCTAACTGAACACAGCTACTGCTTGAAACAGAACATCTGAAACTAGACTTTGCGAATCCCTTCGGATCATACAGAATGACACTCGAAGCACCAAGTGTTCAGTCGGAAGCACATGTGTATTCCATCCAATTCGATGTTCCTGCTCGATACGATGCTTCAGCGCCCTGTTCGGGGCTCCTCCCAGCCCAGCAGCTCCACGTCAGCCTCTCCTTGGTCTGCCCCCTGACCGAGGACAACCGCCGCGCGGTCGTGGCGTGCGCGCACGGCGTTTTTCGGCCAGTTGGCGACTCTGACTGTCAAGGACCATCAGAGTGGAACTGATTCTCAAAAGATGTGGAACAGGCAGCCCAAGAGCCCGGAAGTCTGCGGTATTCTCCGGAAGTCAGCCCAGCCTCTGCATCGTCAAATTTCGGTCCAGGGAACACGCCAACCACCTGAGAGCGCCATGGAGTAGACTCCAGCCAAAAAAGAGGTACATAATCTGTAAAGTGCTTTGATAAACTATATACATACTCGGGCTGTCACATCATTACATGGACCAGCAAAATGACGGCACTGTATAAATGTTTACAAACGTTTGCCCAGCCAGGTATGATTGCCAACTGGAGAAACTGCAGCAGTGTATGACTTTCATGGTACATAGAAGGCCGCTCGGCCTGAGCGAACTTCACCACACCACGAGTTAGGGATGCCGTACAATGCTTCAAGTCCTGCAAACAAGAAGAGACATTGGTGAGCATCGCTCAACATAGTCCCACCACAAGTGGCAGATAGTATCGATCTGCTGGCCTATTTGGATCTATTCGTGTGGGGTCTTCGTAAATGGCGCTAGCCACCTCTTGGAAGCGTTTGGCAAAAGGCTTGTCCGGCTCTCTGCCCTCCTCGAAGGGCTTTTCATTCACTTTCGTGTCCAGCACATCGTGCACGGCGTCCATCTGCGCCTTCACAAACAGGACGTGTTGGAAGCAGGACATGTTGGGACCAAAGACCCGAAATGCCAGACCCGAACATGCCAAGCGCACTTTTTCTTGGCAAGGCTATAATTTAATCTGCTTCTCTCTCGGCCTGTGCAGTCCAGCTGAATGAGAGAGATTTGCATTGTCTCAGGCTTCCAAGCTTGAAGGCTCTGCTATTCAGATGATGAATGGGAATCTCACTCGCCGTGCTGGCCGGACAAGCCAGGGGAAAAAGGCATTCTATTAAGAATGGTGCCAAGCCATATGCTTCATGAGGACTTGCTGGAGGTTGTGAGCCAACAGGCAGAACCGCTCTGCTGTTGAGCCTCACCACTTCCAGCAACAAGTCGTAGGCAGCCTGGGCTAGCCACGTTCCGCCCGGGACACACGTTCCGCCACCACCAGGACCACCGGTGGTCTCGCTCCGCCGCGGGACTCGTTCAGTCGGCCCCTTTCAGGGGTTGACCGAGTCAGCGAAGGCGTGGGGCCAGACGTCGGACGGTCGGTCCGGCATACTTGGGCGTCACAAACTCGTGTGGCCTTATGTTGACGAAAGATGAAAGAAACAGACATAGTAGATCACTGCAATGTGAGTTCCCTTAGCATACTTTTGCACAAAAGTCTCATTCAGGCCCGACTCACCGACTCACAAAAGTGTCCAGGTTGTGGGATAGCCGCAGTTAAAATTGCATAGCGTCTCTATGGTTGACCAGACCAGCAGTGTTTGTACTTGAAGTAGTGGATTGAATGCTGGTAGCCGGGTGGCTAATCAGCTAGTCTATGATTCGGAACAATCAGACTTGTTGTCGCTGTCGCACCGCTTTCTGCTGAGTGGCCACACACGGGTCCACCAGGGGGAGGCTTGCCTCTTTCAAGCTCCAGCAATTTACAATGAAGTCCCACATCGAATAAGAGTTTGAGGACGAACATTGTTCACTATGCAAATATCCGATGCAACCCCGAGTAACCTAAAGTGGCCCTGAGCCATGGAGGCTACATTGAAGTCGGAGTCTCTTTGGGAATCAAGTCACACATACTTTGCCGACGATTTGTTCCAAGATTTCAAGTGTTGCTCTGCCTTCCCAAAGTACTCCAGAAAAAATCAACGCCAGCACTACGCGGCTTTCTTTGCACAGCCCAGCTCATTCTTTGTTTCGGTGTCCCCAGGGCAGCAGCCGTGCTTCCTGTGCTGCAGGTAAAGCGAAAATGACGTCAATGCCGCCTTTGTAGCTACTATGTCCGGAGTCCAATTTGATGTTCATCCTAGTTATTCTTCTAGGAATATATAGTGGTAATGACATAGTACATCGTTGGACATATTTCAATATGTCCTTCAACTTCAACTACATACAGTAATAACCATGTAAATGTTTATACATATCATTCATAGGCATGTCCTCCAATCAGCTGGAGAAGATGAGCCCGGCTTTCCGCATCTCTGGCATCATGAGGGAGCGTGCAAAGGCTGGAGGAGCCATGCTGCCCTTGAGTCCACGGTGGGGAAGGTCCTGGCCGCTTTCCGCGCGTTTTCCTTGGGGAAATGCTCTTTTCTGCAAACTTCTCAGCTTTGCACTCTCTCTGTCTCTCTGCCAACAGAAGCAGCTTGATGCAGGTTTAAGACGTTGAACTTCTTACCTGCGTTTGAGAAACTATGTTGGTGGGATTTAGCAATTCCGCGACTTTTGTGACAAGTTTCAGTAGAGCAACCATTCCACAACTCACCCCAACCACCTGGACCTTTCAGTCCTGATGTCATCAGTGGTCTCACGCCAGCACATCAATGAGTACGAGCCCTTGTTGTTCTCTCCTGATCAGAGAATCATTCTTGTCCGAGTCGTCCTATAAACAGCAGTCATCACACCCAGTTGGCCCAGTGGTACTGATTCGGGCAATTACAAATTTTACGGCTGCACGCTTCCACCGCTCCTGACGCTGTCTGCGGC